ACCAGAGATGGGAAACATGTGGCCCTCTAGATGCTGTCAGACTGTCTTGAACCCCACTCAGCATGGCTAATTGTCAAGGATGATGGGAGTTGCAGTCTAATGACATCTGGAGGACCACAGGTTCTCCATGCTCAGTGTAGATTAACCCATGGTCTGACCTGATATAAGGCAGCTTCCTATGACTGTGATGTGTATGAGGAAGGGGGCCAGGATTGTGCCCATTTGCCTCGCCCCCAGTCACACGGAAAGTGCCTATATAGAGCTATGTGCAGTGTAGCACTGAACTAGCACATGGAGGTTGCCATCGAGGAGGCACAATTCACAATTCCCACTCTTCCATACAGCAAGTCCTTTGCTTGACTGAACAGGGCTGTGCCCTTCACTGATTCGTTCATTCATTCATTCATTCATTCACTCACTCATGGACTGATTCATTCAGATTATATCTCACTGTGCCCAAGGAGAAACTTTCCAGATGACATTCTTCCATTGGTAGAAATGGAAGCTTCTCTCCCAGGGTAAACAGAAGCTGGTGGGTGGTTGTGAGATTGAGATTGAGTGGGCAAAGGTAATCTCTGATTTCCATGTGGTGTGGATCCTAGCTTTTTAAGAAACACAAGGAAGGTCCAAAACACAATTTGAAAACCAAGTGCAATGGTGCTGTATTATGTTGCAGTAAATAAATATGTACTGGTATATTAGAAAGGCTCAGCAAAACATTTTCAGTTGCTGATCGCAAAACACATGATCTTTGTCAGAGATATTGCAAAACTTGTTTAGAAGAACAACTTTTATTAGAGATCTGCAAACTCAGTCTCCAGCGTAGATCTAATCATTCCAGGAACATCTCCAAGAGAAAACCACAAGACAGAACAATAGCAAGGCGAGACACAGAACTTTAGTTAAGCACAAAGGACATGAAACAGTGTTACCTATTGGTTGGAGCAGTTGTTGGATAATTATTACAATACATTCCAGGCTTCACTCATAAATAGATGGTTCTGAGCTGCAGTCCTAAGCATTCTCTCTTACAATTAAGCTCCCCTACGATCAAAGGGATTAATTTCCATGTAGCTGAGTTTTTAAGATTTGGTCTTTTACAAATTGCCAAGCACTCAGCAGTTAAGCTTGCATTCCGTCTTCTCCAATCAGATCTTACAGCTGAAACAAGTGGTGCCTTCAACATTTATGAATTAAATTGGAGTATAATATTATTCATCCAGGAAGCACATGGTGGGAACTGCGCTGAAAGAAGGAAAGAAAAGTCAATGAAGCGACTAAGGTTCTAGCATGGTTTATGTTGGCCATGTGGCTGTTTAATTTGCTTCAGAAGTTCTGGCTAAAAGGGAACATGTGACATGTAATCATCCAACCACAAGTAACACCAGCAAGTTACATAACCTAACGTTCATAATGCCAAACAGGATGCTATCAATGTAGGGATAGATGGTTGTAATTATGCTAACTCAGAGCCATGGTCACTAAATCTGTATGGGTAAAGCCATTGCACAGTCTGACCCCTGAAACGCAACATGGCCCTCAGATTCCCTCCCTTGCTTCCATTGGATTTGGAGAAATTTCAGTAAAGCCGCAGGTCTGGTAGATCAGGCCAAAGGCCCATCTAATTCTGCGTCCTGTTTTCCTAGCAGCCAGCCAGATGCCTATGGGAAGCCTGCAGGCTAGAACATGAATGCAATAGCCCTCTCCCACTCTTACTGCCCGACAACTGCTATTCAGAGGCACAGTGCCTCCAACATGGCGTAGAAATTACAATGCCATTTAAGAGAATGCAATTTGTTATCAATGGCTGTTAAGTCAGGATGGCTATATGGAACATCATCATTTGCTGTAAACCACCCTGTGATCTTTGGATGAAGGGCGGTATACAGATTTAATACATACATACATACATACATGCATGCATGCATACATACATTGTTGTTGTTTAGTCATTTAGTCGTGTCCGACTCTTCGTGACCCCATGGACCAGAGCACACCAGGCACTCCTGTCTTCCACTGCCTCCCGTAGTTTGGTCAAACTCATGCTGGTAGCTTCGAGAACACTGTCCAACCATCTCGTCCTCTGTCATCCCCTTCTCCTTGTGCCCTCCATCTTTCCCAACATCAGGGTCTTTTCCAGGGAGTCTTCTCTTCTCATGAGGTAGCCAAAGTATTGGAGCCTCAGCTTCAGGATCTGTCCTTCCAGTGAGCACTCAGGGCTGATTTTCTTAAGAATGGATAGGTTTGATCTTCTTGCAGTCCATGGGACTCTCAAGAGTCTCCTCCAGCACCATAATTCAAAAGCATCAATACATACATACATACATACATACATACATACTTGATTGATTATTCCTATTTTTATGAGTTAGGGACTTCTCCTGCATGTGAAGACAGGCAATGGTGGACTGAGCGGATGTGACCAATAGGTGGTCCAATGGTCAAGAAGGCAGTTTCTACTTGTGCTGTAGAGGCAAGTGATGGGCAGATGGGTATCGTCAACCTGAAGGTAGCCCATGTAGAAGGAAAACTGACCCTAAACCTCTGCTGCCTTGTTGGATATCTTTAGGAGAAGAAAAGGCTAACAAGCAAAGCCTACACAAATTTGGAGTGGAGTCCCTAAGACGGTTGGATTGTGCCTTGTATGCCTCCTTCTGGCAACTCCTGTAGCAAAGGTGGCACTAAACATATTGTACTCCTTTCCTTTGGACGATGAGGCTGAGAGGGCAGCCCAGGACCTCCAAACACATTGCCCAGGCTTGCACCCCTGGGAGGTCTCTTCAGTGCTGCGAATGCACTCCATTGTCTCTTGAGATGGTCAGGTGCCAACAACAACAACTGTTGTTGTTGTTGTTGTTGATTCATTCCACCCTTCCTCCCAAAGAAGCCCAGGTGGCACATGCACAAGAGATAAAACAATTAAAAACAATTCCCATACAGATGTCAGTACAGTATGCCTCTGAATAAGGCCCTGCTTTAGGTTTGATGAGGTCCTAAGCTACTGAAGGTAATGGGGCCCTTTAGATGTCCAGCTGTCCTTTGTCAACAGCAAATTGTCGCTGTTTTTTGTGTTTAATATATGCCAAATGGTAATTTATGGACCTAATAGGTATCTAAAGCCATTTTATTTGTTTTTTATCTTATATTTTGGAAATGTACATCCAGTTGTTGTTTTTTGCTTTAAATTTTTTTGGGGGCCCCCAATAGAGTGGGGCCCTAAACTATAGCTTGTTTAGCTTATACGTAAATCTGGCACTGCTCTGAATACCTGTTACCGGGGAATAGCAGCAGGGTAGAACTGTTTCTTTTCATAACCCAACTGCAAGCTTCCTGGAGGCATCCGGTAGGCTATTGCGGCTACTGGAATGTTGGACTGCTTCAGCGTTCTGTGCAAGAATCATAACCAGAAGGCACCAGGTGGTCCAATAGCAGGGCTGGTTCCACTTTTCAGCTCCTGTTCACCAAATGACCTCCGATGGACCCCTCCAAACCATAGCGGGTATTAAGTTGTGGGTGGACATATCAGACGACACAGCAATTCTTCAGACAGCTCTTGTTGATTCACAGGCCAGAACAGAATTGGACTGAAGGGTTCAGCCAACCTGCTTATATAGAGTTCAACTACAAAGCAACAGTAACAACTTTCTGTAACTATCCAATCACTGAACGTCACTTTCAATTCCTTATTTGCATATGTGGACCTGAGTGAAAACTATCCCCCTGCTGGCCTAGAGTGAGAACTTCAGTACATAACAGCGGGTCCCCTGATGGATGGACGTGCCGAGTTGCAGTGGCAGTAATGGTGGGCAGCAGCAACATTTTCCAGCAGCACCCCCAAAGTAAACCCTACCCTAGAGGGGAATCAAAATGGCATCTCTCAGACATAGCCTCCACCGCACTGGGGAGCCTATATTCTGCAAGTGCCTCAGGGTTATCTCATATGGAGGGCATCATAGCAAATTAAATGGCAGCTCTCAGAACTAGCTGCTTGACTGTAAAATGTACAAAGGTGATTCTGGGGCAGGTATTGACAGCAAGCTGGTGCTGTAACCATGGTGGCTGCCTAAGGATGCCACATTCTGATGCCACCAGATGCCAGCCAATGTCTCACCAGTGGAGACATTTCCTGCCATAGAGGCCCTTTCATAATGCTGTTTAACCTGAATTTGACTCAGAATGGCTGTGTGAGTCAATTGCTCTTTATGCCCCAAAAGCTGTGTCTTCTTCTTCTTCTTCTTCTTCTTCTTCTTCTTCTTCTTCTTCTTCTTCTTCCTCTTCTTCTTCCTGGCAGGTATGCAGACAATTCTTTCGAGAATTGTTTGAATGGGAAGGGGTGGGTGGATTCCCTCCCCCTCATTAATTAGGTGAGATCTCTCTGAACCCAGGGAAGAAATATGGACAGAGAGTGGAAATGTTCCACCAGCCTCGTTTTGCGGGAGGTAATGAAAGGAAGGAATTTAACGTCATAAACGGGGAACATCTGGTGTGTGTTCGCAGAAAGGCCACGTGCAGATTTGTAGCAGAGATTTCGTAAGTATTCCAAATATTTGGAAAGGGTATGTTCCACCAAGTTAACAACTTGGTTACATACTTATTATCACATGTACAGGAAAGCAAAAGAGTGAATAACACACTTTCTGCAGGAAGCCACGCATGGAAGAGCAGCTGTACAGCAATCTTTCTTGGAAGAACAGCCATATAGCTTAGCAGTAAAGTGCATGATGGGGACGCGGGTGGCGCTGTGGTCTAAACCACTGAGCCCAGGACTTGCCGATCAGAAGGTCGGCGGTTCGAATCCCCGCGACGGGGTGAGCTCCCGTTGCTCAGTCCCTGCTCCTGCCAACCTAGCAGTTTGAAAGCACGTCAAAGTGCAAGTAGATAAATAGGTACCGCTCCAGCGGGAAGGTAAACGGAGTTTCCGTGTGCTGCTCTGGTTCGCCAGAAGCAGCTTAGTCATGCTGGCCACATGACAAAGCTCCCTCAGCCAATAAAGCGAGATGAGCGCCGCAAGCCCAGAGTCAGTCACGACTGGACCTAATGGTCAGGGGTCCCTTTACCTTTACCTAAAGTGCATGATTCATGAGATGCAAGATTTGGCCCCCCAAATCCTACGCTGATCTCAGGAGGTTAGGCTAGATGAAGGAAGGGCCGTCATGCAAATGTGTGTGTGCAATGGTAGAGGCCTTGCTGGAAAGATTAAAGCCTGCTGCCGCTACACAGGAGATGGATTGAAGAAAAGGAAATATGAATTGGCCCCGCCCTTTAGCTTGACCAATCATGGTTAGGGGTGGCTAGGAGCTAGTTGGAGACTAAAATGTGTAGACTTGCTTCTGTTTTGACTTGAAATGTTCATTTTGGGCTTCTCAGAAATACCTAAAGGCAAGAACCAGGCAGGGGGAGTGCCGGCACGCAATGGCGCCCACCTGAGAGGTGCTGGAACTGCACTCCGACACTCTCAAAAATATCATGGCTGACTAAAAAAAATAAAAAATGACTGACTAAAATTCTTCCCAAGAAGAAGAGTGGATGGAAAATAACTGCTATTATGTTCCATTACTTTCCTAGCAAAGATGCCTCTTTTTCTCTGGGAAAGGCTATGAGATAATTAGCCAGTTCATAAAGCAAATTCATATTCATAATAGATTAAAAGAAAGAAATGAAAAGAAGCGAACCCATAGTAACAAATGGCAGGCAGCGTAAAACAAAGAAAAGAAATCTATGCACTAGCAAGAGATATTCATTAAATGCCTGTTGAAAACCCCAGGTTTTGATTTCGCAGAGCTGCCTTCAGATGTATCTCTCAAGTAAATTAAGATGACAAATGACAATTATCTGAAAGGCAAGTGTCATGAAGAGGCTAGGAACACATTATCTTGCTCTCACTCTCGCTCTCCTCCCCTCACCGCTTTTAGAAGCTTTTTAGGGCTGGTGGTTTTTTTTCAAACAAAAATGAAAAGTTCCACCATTTATCACCAGCCTCGTTGTTCGCAGAACTCTGGGAGTGAGCTGGCACAATATAATCCGAGGCTTTCCACATGCATGTGGCTGAGCAGAGCAGAGAGATCTGTCACAAGCCTTTGCTTTTACAGAATCATCCTTCATGTTCCCAGAGAGAGCAGGAGAGGGAGGGACAGGGGAGAAAACCCGCCACATTGGTTATTTATTTAAAAATTAAAGCAGGGGGCTGCGAAACAAAACAACAACAAAAAACAAAAAGGTTTCCTCTTTCTAACAGATGTGGCTAATGTTCTGTTTTCCTGGTAATTCATACTAATAACGATTGTCATAATGTTTTCATATATTTCAAAGGCTTTAACAGCTTTATGGAGGGAAATTGCTGTTGCTTACTCTGGGGACTGACTTTACGCAACAGCCAGAGCTTACGAGACAGTTAGATCAAGCACAGTGAAAGAGGGGGAAATAATAAAGGAACGAGAGCGTCCCAAGTCAGGTTGGCAAGGTAAGAGCCCGCAGGGGGGTCTCAAAGGCATGGAAACAGGCGGGGAGCTCAGAATGTGCCAAAGCAATTCTGTTTGGAAAACAGATTAGTCAGCCTGCTAGGGTTGCTGCTACATGATATGGTGCGCTTGCCACTTAATTTGTAGAGGGACCCAGCAAGGTGTGGCAAAAGAGCCTTCTAGATCAGATGAATGACTCATCTACAGTGGTACCTCGGGTTAAGAACTTAATTCATTCCGGAGGTCCTTACCTAACCTGAAACTGTTCTTAACCTGAAGCACCACTTTAGCTAATGGGGACTCCCGCTGCCGCTGCGCCGCCGGAGCCCGATTTCTGTTCTCATCCTGAAGCAAAGTTCTTAACCTGAAGCACTATTTCTGGGTTAGCAGAGTCTGTAACCTGAAGCGTATGTAACCTGAGGTACCACTGTATTCCAACACTGGCCAATCAGATGCCCCAAAGCAGAACCCAAGCACAGGGACATTCCCTTCAGGTGACCCTCCAGATATTGTCAGACTCTGGCTCCCATCAGCCCCAGTCAGCATGGCCTACAGTCAGGGAAGATGGGATTTGTAGTCTAGCAACATCAGAAAAGCCACAGGTTCCCCACCTTTGCTATGAAGGCTCTGGGATTTGCCTGGACTATGATAGGCACTAGCTTGCTCTAGCTCTTTGTTTTGTCCCCTCTAGCTTGACCTGTGGCTCTTGCCAGTGTGGTGTAGTGGTTAAGAGCAGTAGTCTTGTAATCTGGTGAACCGGGTTCGCGTCTCCGCTCCTCCACATGCAGCTGCTGGGTGACCTTGGGCCAGTCACACTTCTCTCTCAGCCCCACTCACCTCACAGAGTGTTTGTTGTGGGGGAGGAGGGAAAGGGAGAATGTTAGCCACTTTGAGACTCCTTCAGGTAGTGATAAAGCGGGGTATCAAATCCAAACTCTTCTCTTCTTCTTGCCTGATGGTTGCTTGTGGTTCAGCCCTGACAGGCATTTACCAGCACCCCAAGGCCCACTGCCATTCTCACTTTGCCTGAAGCATCCAAGAGAGCCAGGAGGGGCACGACAGAACTGTTTCAGTACCTGCTTCTGAATAAATGTATGGGAGACAAAAGATGCGCCATAGCTTTGTCTGAACAAACTATTCAATGCTACATTAACACTATCCGAGCTCTTAAAATGGGGCAGCAAAGGATAAACATCTAAGGTGCATTAAATCTTATTAGAGAGGTAAGATGGTGAAATTAACACTTAGATAATGTGGGAAAGGGTCTTGGATAAGTTATTCACTGATGAAGAAAGTAGTGTATTTATAAAATAGGTTATAACACTTCAGCCTTTGTGAGATCATTTCTTTTTCTCCCCCCCCAAAAAATATTCATTTTATAACACAAATAAATAATACAAACAGAAATACAAACAATACAAACAAGTTCTTGTCTTATCCTTATTTTTTCTAAACATTGTTAGGTGAGCTTCCCCAAGTCCCCCCTATATGGTTTTCATTTTACCTCATCTTTAGCAGTTTCATATATCATAATTTTTAACCATTTTTTTTAATCACACTTACTTTTACCATAAAAATCTTCACATTTTATCACTTACAAATAATACTATTTTAAAATACACTATCTTCTACTTCTAACCCTACAGCCTATTTCCACTTCCAAAGCTATTCTAAAATTTGAATATTAACATATTTTTTCAAATATTCTTTAAATTTCTTCTAGTCTTCCACCGTCTCTTTTCTCTGGTCTCGGAGTCTCCCAGTCAGTTCAGTAAGTTCCATATAGTCCAGAGATAATTTCTTTGTAATAGTTGCACCAGTGATATTATAGACCACAGAAAAGGTGCAACCTGGCAGAACAACTGCTATTATTTCAGACCCATGGAAATCACCCCAAAAGACCTCTCTA